TATAAAGGTATCAAAAGATTGGCATAATAAAATTAAATGGTACCTTTTCGTGTCCTAATGCTTGATTACTAGCTTTTCTTAACAACCCTATCAAGTCGTGGCAATATGTTCTTGCACCAATAGGTGCTATTGGATGTACTTAACCAAGCATAGTCATTTTCATCTTTCCTAGATTATTTGCTCGCCTGATGTTTAAAATGATTTTTTCCATCAGTTATGGTGTGTGTGTTTCTTCCAGAATCTTCTTCAATTGTGTTTATTCATATGGCTTAATTATCATGCTTATATTAGTTTCCTTGAAATTTTACCTTCTGTAGTCGGATCTTTTCCTTCTTTCTGTATCCCACTTTTATGTTCCTTAAAAAGTTTCATTTCTTTCTTTCTGTATTTCATTTTTATGTGTTGATTAAGAAGTTTTTATTTTCCCAAGAAACTGGGGTGAAAATTTAACTTAATCAGCAAAGAAGCTGTGGTAGAGATTTGACTTAAATAATGATCACAACTATGAAGATCTTAGCAGTAGCATTGCACCAGTCCCACTATTTTGTAGTACACTAGGCTCATTAAACTTATGTTTACTGTGTTGTACTTGTTTAACAAGAAGTCTAATTTGCATAATAAATAATGGACTTTGTTATTCATGTACTCTCTACGAACCATATTTCAGCAGTTCATAACAAGTGCAGGGCACCAGAATAAGCCTGTCACAGAATCATTTTGCTGTTTACAAACTCAGAGCTGTCATATGAACTATTGAACTGTATAGCTGTCTTTTACATGGTATCTAGCATGGATTCATAATTTGGATGATAGTACTGGAATCCAAAGCATTGAAATTATAACACCACAATAAAGGCCTCAATGACGTGAATTATTGATGTTCTATTACATTTACCTTAACCAGCATATGCTATCATGTGAAAACGTACTTATGCTATTATCTATTTTGAAGCAATACGTAGCCCTTAACACTCAGAAGAAAATGTATACTGTATATTTCTTAAACTAGATAACCAGATAGCATCATCATTCATGAATTGTATTTCAAATGATTATGCACATTGGTCTTTGGGTATAAGCTATAGTAGTTAATGCACTTTGTTGATTTTCTAAATAATTTCTAGACATTACATGCTACATAAATTTCTGGCCTCAAGAGAGATTTATGCTTCAGATATTAATTGTACAGTGTCATTCAAAAGTCCTCTCTCATGCTATGAAACAGTTTGAATGTTTCCGGTTGATTTCCTCTGACCTTTTTATCAGTGTACTCTGCGAGAACCATTTTTCTGGAGTCATCCCTAAGCAATTTGGGTGGCTCGCAGCCCTGGAAGTGTTGGATTTGAGGAACAATAACTTGAGTGGGACTATTCCTGCAGAAATAGCATGGCTGCATTCCTTAAAACGACTGTGAGTAGAGAACTTTATCTTCCCTAAAACAATTTGGAATTATTTGCTTACAACTAAAATGTGCTTCTTTTATTTATTTATTAATTTATTTTGTATTTTAGGTTGCTTAGCAACAATAAATTTGTAGGAAGTATTCCTTTGGCGGTTGGGAAGCTTGATCAGCTCAAGGAAATGCAGTTTGATGTGAACCTTATCCCTGCTGCAGTAGAAGTTGGTTGTTTCAGCAGAAAAGTTGGGCACTGGTAAGACAAAAATAATTTCCCACTGAATGAAACTAGTATGGTGTTTCTTGGAGTTTTGTGTCCTCCCTCGGTGGACACGTTAGTCGCTCATAAAGAAATCAAGGTTGATCCGCTTCTAGGACCATCTGCGAGTAATTGGCCACTACTATCCTATTCAGATCTGTGGAATCAGGAATCGAACTAATACACTGAATTGAAGTAGGTCTGTGCAAATGATTTGCAAAATATTTGCTTCAATCTTCTGATCAGCACTTAAACTCTTATGAAGGAGTGAGCTTAGTCCACCCAAATAGAAGGCCTTGATCTTAAGAGGTCGTTATATGAAACCTTTAGGTGTGGATTAACACAGCATCTTTTTGATTCCTGTTTAGGGAAATTTTAATAAACAACCAAAAGAAAGATCAACAAAAATGATGGTAAGTACAAGTTAGATTGTGTTAGTTAGACCCAAATGTTTAACAATAATATCATGGGAATGCAGGAACTCCTGCACACTCCTTGGCTACTGGATATAGCTAGCAAGCTTCCTATAAACCTAATCCATCTCCCTCGTCTAAATAAGGTTTTCTGGCTCTCCTGTATGTGAATTGGTGCTAGATCCCTAGATCTGTACAATACTTGCATTTAATTATTCTCTTAACTGGAAAACGAAAGTAACTATCCCTGTGAAATCTAGATTTTTCTGTTATATCTGATTCATAAGGTCAGGTTTTTTCATACTTTTCATTCTTGATTCAGCCAACTGTAGTAATTGTACTTTTTTTGTACCCGTGCCTGTAATCTTTATCAACCAAAACATGTTTAGATTAGTTGATGAAAATCTTACTCCAGTTTTTGCACCATACCCAGAATGTCAAATCAGATTTAGGAAAATACTTCTATCTCTGGACCAGTTATTCTCCTTTAGCTACAGATGATTGAATCCAAACTTTATGTACTTAAAATCACGATCATCATTTAGTCGTACTTTATGGTTATCTTGTGATTCCAAGTGGTTCCTTTTTTTTTTTTAATGTTTTTCTTCTAAGGAGAAGTGATTCAGCTGTCTATTCATTGGTGTGATATACAATTCAAAAATCAAGCATCTCACCGAAGCATGTTCTCTTCTTCATTGTATTTGAGCTTTTCATTTCTTTTTTTGGCAGTGAGTGGTCAAGCAATCTCAAATCCTTGAGAAAAGAAGATTCCTTGCTGACACCAATCAAAGAAACGTTAAATCGCTACTTTGATCTGTTCCCCATGTAAGTGAAGAAAATATTTATTCAATCTGAGACAATACACAACTAATAATTTAGTACATCCAAATTTTATTCATGATATGTTTTTATAAAGGAAAGTGGACCATCTTTTGTTAAGGTACAGATTTGGGAAGGGCTCCTTCAGAAATGATGCCAGTGATTCCTATGACAATCTACCAAGTAATGCAATACTATCTTGGCTTGACTTATATTTAGAGTTATATGATTTTTGGATATGATGCTGATTTGGCTTTTAACAGGTGCATCTGAGCTAGATGTCAAACAAAATCTGCTGAACATGGCTGATGTTAGACGGCGAAAGCTGGTTGAGCAGCCTAATAATATTGCTGCGTACCCTTTTAATAATGGGAATCCAGTTGGAAATTTTAATTCTTATCCAAGCAGTACAAGTAGTGGGTCATTCCCTGCTGTTCCAAGCAAGAACAGTTCCTCTTCCATTCCTGCAGGTCCTTTGCAGCCTCCATCACCTAACACATCAAATCCAACCTCTGCCTCTGTCAACCAACCTGCTGACAAACAGCCTCCTGCAGCGGGGAACTCTGAACACACATGGAAGTATATAATTGGAATTTCAAGCGGTGGTTTCCTGCTCTTTTTTGCAGCAGCCATTCTTGTTGTCATCAGAGGTAGAACAGCAAAAAACATTGGCCCTTGGAAGACTGGATTAAGTGGACAGTTGCAGAAAGCATTTGTTACAGGTAATCTTTTGTTAATACTGAAGTGGTAGCATGCAGAATGTTGCATAGTTTTTGGCCATGGCCTCACCATATGTTTCCTGTCCCCAAAGACTCTGCTGATTGATTCAACTCCTGAACTGGATAACTTCGCTAGTGAAAACTTGGCTGGTTATTAGAAGCTTATTGGTGCCTTTGTGTACCCTCTACTCACCTGCAACTGTATGTTCAAATAGTCATTCAACTTTCCATATTTCTATATTTTGGAAATAATTTGACTGACAAGTGTCTTATCAGAACAACTTTTGTGAAGCTGAGTAGCATGAACAGGCAGGAAAAGAAACATGATAATTAGAGTAGAAAGGTAGGCACAAAAGCAATTCAAATGGAGACGTCTGTTAGCAATACTATAGAACGTAAGTTCCTTCGTTCCACATGGTTGCATAATACCCTTCACTGATCTCTTATATCAAGGGATCACTTAGAATATGTAAAACAACCAATGAGCTCAACAAAAATAACCTACCTGAAACAGATATTACATGTCAATTGTATAAGAATGAGGCAAAAGCTTGTCAACTGTATAGGATTGAGCAAAAAATTAAAGTCTATAGATAGTTCAAGGAGTTGAAGCAAAAGCATGTCTGTGATACATCAAACTATAAAATGACACTTTCAGACAGTCATGAAAATGGCTGTGAAATCCATTTATCCTGCAAGACCCTGAAGAGCACAGACAAATAGCTGAATATGTAATCAACTTGGTCTAGGATTTGTTAAAACATGCACTACTGTATTATGTTGTCTCTTTGTGTATTTAAATGAAAATTCCTGCTTGATCCTTTATCTTTTCTGAGTGGTTATTGTTTCTTGCTGATACTTGCTCTTATCACTTCCTTGACTTATCTTTTTGAAGGAACTATTGCTGTACTCATTGGATATTGCAAATTCATACTCTTCATAGTGATTGGGTCATGTCAAAATTTATACCCTTCCATATGGTCTTAAAGATCTTGCTTTATGTTAGGATGATGAATCTTATCTTTTCCTCGTCTGTGCCCCAAATTCATACCATGCAACAGTTGCAGCATTCGTTGGTGACTTGTATAGAATGAGTACATCCTTAAAATAGTTCTCTTAATAAAATGATCACCTTATATAGAGTACAGCTGCAATAGTGTATCAAGTAAACATTTTCTTGAAAAGTTTTTATAAACTGCATCTCAAGTTGCAGCTAACATGCATAAACCATCTATCTGAAATGGCAGGGGTCCCTAAGCTGAACAGTGCGGAACTAGAGACTGCATGCGAGGATTTCAGCAATATTGTTCAGGCACATGATACGGTGACTGTGTACAAGGGAACTTTATCAAGCGGTGTAGAAATTGCTGTTGCCTCAACTGTTGTTAATTCACTGAACGATTGGTCAAAGCGCGCAGAAATTGCTTTCAGGAAGAAGGTCAGTTTTCGTGGGTAGTTCTGGCAGGGTTGTAAATGATGAAAATCACTATGATCACTATCCTCAAAAATGTGATTATTGTGCGAAGTTATCTTCAGTTTTTCTTGAATGTAATACCTTATATGTAACTTTTTTGGTGCACTTTACTAGATCGATTCATTGTCCCGAGTGAACCACAAGAATTTTATGAATCTTATTGGGTACTGCGAGGAGGATGAACCTTTTGTGAGAATGATGGTGTTTGAGTATGCACCAAACGGAAGTTTATCTGAGCACCTGCATGGTAAGTTGGTAACTATAATGGCAACAAGATGTCTAATAGTTAAAAAGTTAAGTCTTCTGTTTACGAAGTTGCATTAACATGTTTTCTTTTGATTTTCAGTGAAAGAGCTTGAACATCTGGACTGGAGTACAAGGATGAGGATTATCATTGGAACAGCTTACTGTCTCCAGCACATGCATGGTCTCAATCCTCCACTTCCACATGGCCATTTGAACTCCAAAGCTATATTTCTGACGGATGATTATGCTGCCAAGGTAGGGTTGCATATCTTCGCACTGATTCTAGAGGTTTATTTAGATTGACCAGACTGTGTTTGTATCCTTCATAATGACTTGTGGAAACTTAACCAACTGAATTTGTGGCGGTCTCAGATTGCAGACATAGCCTTTTGGGATGAATTTGTTAAAAAATCTGCAGAGCATGAAGGACAGCAGTTGGAATATCCGCTACTTGAGGATGAAGAAAGTGATGTATACAATTTTGGATTACTGTTGCTCGAAGTAATCTCTGGGAAGCTTCCTTACTCAGAAGAACACGGGTCTCTCTTAAATTGGGTAAATTTCCTACCAGATTCTCTTACTTCCCTACCTTTTTAACTCTTCGAATCCATTTTACATCTTTTGCTTCAACATGACTTTTATCACACTGTTCAGGCTGCGGAATACCTGAATGACAAGAGAAGCATCAGCTATCTGATTGATCCAACGCTGAAGTCATTCAAGAATAACGAGCTTGACATCATCTGTGAGGTTATTGCAGAATGTATTCAAGAAAATTCAAGAAAGAGACCAACCATGAAGGAAGTAGCTACGAAATTGAGAGATGCCCTTGACATATCACCTGATTCAGCAACCCCACGGCTTTCTCCGCTTTGGTGGGCTGAACTTGAGATTTTATCTTCTGAGGCAGCTTAAATATTCAGCTCAGGGTCTACATGGTGCCTCAAGTTTGCATATTAGTCTTATCGTGCCTTCAACAAAATCGAAAATTCCAATATACATCATTTTTTTTTTCCAGTTTCTTTGGTATGCCATTTTTTTATTCTTATTCTTCAATTGTTTACTTCAAGCGGGACAAAACTTCGTCCCACGCACCTAAGTTATGTATATAGAGATTATGAACTGGCATGTAAGAGTTGTTTAACCTGCTGTTGAGTCAGAAAGAGATTTTTTATATGTATTTATCCTGTGTGTGTCATAGGAAACCCTGTGTAGGATTATCATTTACTCATGGTTTCAACATGACCAAATTTTGAAGTTTTGATGAGACTATAAATGGATAAGCTTTCATTGATCATATAGCAGGAAATTTGCTGCAAGCAAAAAGTTGTACACAACAGCTCAAATGTCTTGGTCTTAAATTCCTCGAGTCCTCCGAACCTCTGCAATGCAAGAAATCAACACTTCCGAATTTAGGTTGAAAAAGTCTCCAAGTTGCAACAAAAAGTCTCAAAGATAGATAAGACTATTTGGAAAAAAATATTTCTAATATATTTGTCTGCAACAAAAAGGGAATTTTTATTTCCAGCTCTTCGCATTGGATGAAGCAGACAAAACTTTGGATTTTAGGATAGGTACATGAATTTTCAAATTCTTTGAAAACAATAGAAGAATAATCATCCTGATTTAAGGATGAATTGGCTTGCGGATTTGAACTGCCAATGACTTGCTGATTTCAGCTGCCAGATGATCTTTAAATTTTGTAATGAAGAATTTGAAAACTACCAATACTTCAATCCGACTACTGTCGATCTAATGCTGGAGGGAGGCATGACAATGTTACATATTAAACCCCCGGCCGACAACTCGTTTTGGGCGAATAGTTCAATTGGTAAGTAAATTGGTTGAATTGGTAGGTTCTATAAAATAATTCTTTAAAGTTACATAATTAGGGGTGCAAACGAGTCGAGCTCGAGTCGACCTTTGGCTAATCGAGCCGAGCTCGAGTTAATTTTGTGAAACTCGAACTCGAGCTCGACGAGCTCAAAATATCAAGCTCGAGCTTAAAAAATAAAAAATAATTAATTTTATTTTATTTTTAAAAAATAAAAAATAATTATTTATTTTTAAAAATGAATAAAACAATAATTTTTTTAACAAATAATAAAATATTAGGGATATATATGTAATTTTACTATTAAAATAAAAAAATAAAAAATAAAAAATGTATATATAATTGAGCTCACGAGCCAACGAGTTTAATGTTTTTGAGCTCGAGCTAATTAAAATGTTTTTGAGCTCGAGATCGACTTAATTAGCTCGAGCTCGATAGTGACGAGCTCGAGTCGAGCTCGTATTCGAGCCGCTCGCGAGCGGCTCGATTCGCGAAACACCCATAGTTTTTAACCAAATCGTAGTTGTCTCGAACATAATTATGCTATTGTCAGTCTCATCTTTTGTGCTTTCTATTAATTTGGAGAAGTAGAAATTATAAAATCATACCAAGTATACTTGTAAATGATAAGCTGAATGAAAAGTTTGAAATAATTCGAGAAAGATGATCAAGGTCATAGTTTTTTCTCTTGGAAGATAAAAATTCATATTAATACAATCATTTTGGATTCCCGATCTCTCCATTCAACTGCCGGTTTCACTCGGTCCAAACAATTGTGTCTTCTGTTTTCGATTAGACCAGTAAACTAGCATGATTCTATAGTCAATTTACCAACTTGATCGATTCAATTGCTGTCTTGAATCGAATTTAATGACAATGTTTTAAAGCTTTTTTTTTTGTTAGTACAACATTTTTATAAGTAATCCTATACTAGGGGAGTGGAGAGAGCGATAGTGGTGAAGCCAACTAAACTATTGAGAATTCGAAGAAAATAAAATAATCTTTAAAAATATTTTAAAAAATCCTGAACGTGAAATGTCATAAGGAGTTTCAAATCCCTTAACTTCTAAAGAGGGACTTTTGTCTTTCTTTAGTGGCCAAGTAATCTAGCTCGATTGATAATGGGTACGTCAAATTGTTTGGTGTGTGGCATATAAGCTCGGAGCAGAGACTTTTTTTTTTTTCTTTTTGTTGTTTATCAATTATAAACAGTTTATCCTAATCCTACATTATAGGAGGGGAAGTGTCCAATTGTGCTATGTATGAGGACCGGAGAAAAAAGAGACTCCTGCAAACCAACAAGTGCATTACTGCCCCTTCTCTGAACTTGTCGGAGAACAGGAAGCCAACCTTCCCTAGATAACGCAGCTAGCGGGAGTCAAGCTCTCCACCTGCTCCCCAGAAGGACTCAAATTTGCCTCCTCGACCACTAGACCGAAGTCTTAGAGACTTAGGCCAAAGATTTTACTTGGCTAAAATTTACATTAATGCTTTGTCCTTGCTATAACAACTTCAATAAGAAAACTGGTTGAGCTTTTCCAGAAAAGCTTACAAGGGATTTCATGTACACATAATTCAACATAAAGCCATCCCCTCTCTCTATATATATCATGGTTCGCCAGAAAAAACATATATGGCTCACGAGACATGAAACATTGGGATGAACTCATCAATTGAGAGCGCAGCCAGGTTGACTAAGAATGACATAGTATCCAGTTATGGCATCTTTGAAACAAAATTAAATCAATTCTTTGGTGATTGAGACATCATATATTTTGCACACAATAGCATGCATATTCTTCTTCTTCTTCTTTTGGGTAATAACAGATAAATAGCATATTCTCAATTCTAACCTTTTGAGTTCTGTACTCATGGTATCTTCTTATTATGATATGACCTTGAGCTCTTTAATAGAATTATTTTCTGGTTTTTTAACATTACATTTTTCATAAAAATAAAAAAGACAAGCCACACCACATCATTACCGGCAGGGACGGAGCCAGAAATTTATTTTTGGGGGGGCTAAAGTGTATTAAAAAATTTTTTTTTGACGAAATAAATATATTTAATAAGTAAAATTTAGAATCAATAATTATAAAAATAATAAAAACATATAATTATACATACCCAAAAATTTGTTCTGAATTTTTGGGTATGTAACTTACCCAAATCTACAAATCTACAAAAGAAACAACGAAAACAGAAGGCCTATCAAGATATGTATAGTACTCGGAGGCATAAACCGCTCAAAAAAATAGATTAAGAATTGCCCATCGCATACTAAAATAGTTTAAAAATTGCCCCTTTCATATGAATTTGATAAGTTCTTGGAAATCTCAAAATGCTCCAAAAAAATACTCTAAACTATCAATAATCTATCACTCACCCTGCTTATTGATTTCATGATCAGAATTCGAAATAAAATAAAAAACTAAGGCGGTCAAAAAGCGAAATAGCAGGAAAACTTTGATAGTAATTGCAAATTTAATTCTTCTTGAAGTGCAAGGGATGTCATAAGCGTTAAATCAAGAACTTTTCTAAATTCCAGGAAATACATTTACAGCATTCTTTGTTCCAGAACATACATTTATAACAGCACCAACAACTATTGTTGGCAAGCTTCTTGATCAACAAAAGAAAGCCCACTCCACCATATAGTTCATGACAGCGATGCACAAAAAATACTTTGCCAACAACCAAACATCTGAAATAAAAAAAAAGGCTATGTTTCCCAGGCTCTATGTTTCCGAGTCTCACAGGCTCTAACAAAGTCCAGAATATATGATGAATAACTACAGAGTTCAGACCTGCTCAAAACATTTTAGGAAAATCCAAGTTATTACATCACCAGCAGGTGAAAACATAAATAACTATTGAAAATTTCAGACAATAATACCAGTATCCTAAGAGACACATAGGAAGAGAAAGGTAGTACCTACCTACCTACCTAGTTACCTACTGCATTTTAGAAGCAAACATTTGGAATCCCCTATATATAGGGGGTTTTCCGGAGGCTTGGGGGGGGGGCTTAAGCCCCCACCAGCCCCCCCTTAAATCCGTGCCTGATTACCGGTGCATATATCACACATATATTATGCACCAACTAGATTCTACTAAACATAATTACTAGCTACTTGTGATTTTCACATTCATCAACGGACCTTTTTTCTCTTTTCTTCCCCCATTTTCTCATCTGAATTTGCAGCACTGATGAAGAAGCCAAGAAGTCCGCACTCTGCATTGGATTCAACACATCCAACACTCCTTTCAGAGTCTTAAGCCTCACACAATCAGCCATTTTCATCACTTTTTCCAAGCCAGCCAGCAGCTCTTTTATCGCCATCTCCACAAGCCCATTGATCTGACTACTCGAGGCCGCCGCCAGGTGCTCGCCATTCTTGGTTAAACTCACCAGCCTCGCCAGCTCCACCATCTTCCTATCCGCCATGGCCACTTGCTGCCTTTCCATCTCCCTCTCCACCTTCTCCTCATCCACCCTAATCCTGCTCCTCAAACCTTCAATCTTTTTCACTTGCTCTTCACTCAAATCAGCCAGACTTGTTGCACCGGGTACTTGGCCTTTCCTTAGCGAATCAACAAGCCTCAAAATCATTGACGGCTTCCAACCAGTGATCCATAGATATGCATTCTCCAAAGGGCTCAACCAAACAGGTGTAAAAAAGGCCAAAACATCCTCACTGGCGCAAGCCCATTTGGCAGTGTAGTAATCTTTTGGTTAACTTCAAGAAAGTATTTAAAGATTAATTTTCAAACAGCAATCAGTAGATTTCTTTTGGACAAAGATTAGAAAACAGGCACAACAAGCAAAATAACAAACATAATATCAGGTCTACTTGCGTTAAATAAAGTAAACTGCTGATCTACTCTATACTTCTTTTCACTACAACATTTACGGGGCTTCTTCAACACCTTGTCACACTAGCAAGAAAAATTGTATTTTCAGTGACAAGCCATTTTTCATCAAAAAAAAAAATAAAAAGCGGCACACTATAAGGAAAATATAATGACACATTTCTAGTCGTCACTGACAGCACCGTCGATAAAGTAAATAGTGATGCCTTTAAAGTCGTCGAGTGATGGTAACTATTTTGTCGACAACTTTGGTGACAGCCCCACCTCAACCTAAGGCGAACCAAAGGGTTCGACGGACCGCCTGTCCAACTCTCGATAGAACTACGGAGTTGAATCTCACAAACCCTATAGTACGCGCGAGAACCCAATGAAAATGAACAACTGGAGACCACCAAAAGTTAAAATAGAGCTTACCAAACCATACGGAAGTAAGGGAAGTCGATTAAACACTTATACATATATTTACATCGGAATCTTGAACAAATGAACCAAAATAAAAGCCAAAGTATTCACGCTACACAAAATACAATTAGGGTTTCAGTTACAGAGGAGCATAAGCAAGAGAAGTCCTACAACTAGCTCAACTCTTTTCTTCCAAAAATCTTGGTTTCAAAACATGGAACCCTGTAAGGAAAACAAAATAATGGTAAGGGGGTGAGCTTATGCCCAATGAGGTACCAGACATATAGCAGTAAAATCATAACATCTCATGTTTAACAAATCAGGTACACATGCTAGATATAAAGTAAAATAGTTAGACACAATGATTCCAACAGGAAGGATACAGGTGGCTCTCAGGAGCCAGATTCTCATTTGCAGTACTTGATCCGAACCCGTTGACTTTCCGTCAACGTATTTAGAACTGACATGTCCGTAGACCCCATTTTACACCAAATTCCATCCACCAAACACACCCCTACCGGGCCCGCACACCTCAACAGAGCAGAAGTGATAATACTCGAGTATACCGGAACCAAGAGTCTCGATACCCAAAATACTCCAAGAACAGACTACTGTGGTTTGTTATCTAATTGACCTGACCCTTGCCGGCTCGACTCGAGTAACTAGCCACAGGTGTTGAGTTCAGAGGTTACAGACTTATATAGAGAATAGATACAGATGACAGATACAGAGCAAATACAGACTTATACAGTATGCAGGAAACAAAGTAAA